ATACTGCCCCCCCCCCCCAACACACACATAAAATATAAAAAAAAAATATATTTTTTCGGCTATTATTTTGAGATCGGCTATACAATGTCATTTACCCTTTGGCATATCAGATGACCAAACTTTTCACCGAGGCTTCTTTAACACCCACAAGCATTAGCTAGAAACAATTCATCATCTGTAAATCAGGAACAACAACAATGAATTGATTAAGGAGGAGATATGTTTAACTTGTAGCTAGCAGAACAGGCTACTAAGTAAATAAGCAAAACGAGAGACAACAAAATTTTAACAAGCAGAGAAACAAAGTGAGCTCGAGTTAGCAGGCTAATGGATTTCCGTTATACATAACCAAGAGTTAAGAGCTATTTATCGCATCTTAGTACTGAGTCCTCTATAAAGCATTCAGCAACTATATCTGCTGTATAAGGCTCACTTATGCATCAGAAAAGCATGTATCTATTTACTGTAAACAATATGTGAAGCCTAAGTGGAGATTCAGGATAGACTTTTTGATGAAACACATTTTCCAAAACATTGCCAAATAAATATGGAATAAGTAACTAGGTAATCACCATCAATAATGTTAAAACATTTCCTATAAACAGTAGATTTACCTTACATCGACATCAAACTGACAACCATTGATCCGCACTCCAGTTAAGAGGAGAAAAATGCCTGCAGATCAAAGATGCCTCAGGCTGACCAGTTCAATATCAAATATGACGGTCCCCAATGTCGCTCCTTCTCCATTTGCAAGACGGGTTGGGTTGAAAATGGTAGTAAAAAGCCTTTGGCGATCAAAATACTGAAACACGGAGAACACATGTTCACTAACTCAAGTCCCAAATGAAACACATTGATGAAATTAAAAGTATTTCTAATTTATTTTTTATAAGGAATTAAAAGCAATATTAATCACGGTTTCAACTCCAAATAAATACAATCAACCAGTTCTAAAGACCTTTCTACTGCAGATTTTAAGAATTACTGAATCATCCAACAGAAAAGGGCTGGCACAAGAAAACTCCTAGCGATAGATAAATTTGAATGTGTCACAGAATAATAATTTGGATGCTTCTCGTTCCCCATTCAGTTGGCCTAATTTCTCATTTAGTCTGTCCCAGTTTACAAGACCCCTTAGACATAATAGCAAACTCTTCCATCTCCAAAAATTCAAACAGGCCACTCCATGCCCATGCATCTTAACTATTATTTGGAAAATAAGAATAAGAAACTCCAATGTGATAACACATTTAAACTTTTTTTTTCCCTCTACAACAACAACATACCCAGTATTATCCCAAAGAATGCGACTGCGACTGAGAATGACCAAATATAGATTATAAAGGAAGAAGAGCAACTTCACACATTAGGTGGCAGGGGTTCTTGGGATGTATTCTGATATCCTTGAGATGGTGGTATAATAACTCGACGAAGGCCGCCTACTTTCATCGATCTTACAGCACTTTCAATCCCTGATATAACCTGCAATAAATATATAGACGAAAATGTGTAATTAATTGCTAAAATTTTATTTGCTATATTTAATTGTTACATAATTTAGTAGGTTCGGACAGTCAAACTGATACTACTTCAAAGAGATTAAGGAACAAAGAATTCAAAATAGAAAAAAAGATGAATTCACATCACAGGGAAAAACTCAAAAGAAGATAGAAGCAAATTGAATCAACCAAAACAAGCATAGTACACCTGCTCTGAACTACCAAAAATCAAGGGAAACCAGACAAAGGAAATATCTTGTTTGAAGGTCCAATATACTGAAAAAATGTGCTCGAGATAGGTAGAGTTGAGAATTGACACCATCGATTAGTGTTTTTTTTTTAAATAAACCAAAAATAACAAATTTTGGTACTACGGTGATAATCTGAATTACAGAAGAAAAACATGCAACGTCGGCCTTTCCAATCGTATTCTCCTCTTGGATACACCTTACCCCGAACCTACTTTTGAAGTTTACCTCAGTTATAGTCCTCAACTACCCTCCAATTGTTCCCTCCTTCCCACCTTAGGCCAGATTGTCATTGTTCTTGCAGTCTTGGCGAATCTTTTCTTTTGACAAGGAATCTCATTAGCACTTGCTCCATTATGACCTCCCCACTTCAAGAACCTTCTTCCTTTCCCTCCAGCAACGGTGGACAAGTTTTTCTAAATGCATTTACTTTTATCTTTTTCCTTCATCATTCTTCTGTAAGCATTTCAAAACAACTTTATCAAGTAGTCATCTTCCACTGCTATAGGTGGTGCCAGAAGCTAAAGTTTTTCACTTTTGTAGGTGATGCTAGAAACTGAAGGACCGCAAAGAGGAAGGAATCTTGTAGCAGCCAAAAGACTAGAATCAAATAGCCTAGAAACATCATCTACAGAGGCTACTGCAATGGCAGCCTTTCCATGTGCTGGCATATTTTGTATGTACTAGTTAGCTTTTAAATCGTGAAGATGCGACGTCTAGTGAAGATCTGTTTAGAAGAGAATATCATAGGGTTATAAGGTTCCCGGGAGGAACATGTTGAAACAAGTTTAATTGAATTATAGGGTAACTATTACTAACCATCCTAAACACACACAAGCATAATTGAAGTGACCCACTTGATGCTTTCACCAACAGACTGAAGGATGATAGAAAGAAACAATAACAGACAAATGCACATTCTTACATGCTGCTCACAATTGGTGGCTATATGCTATAGGTAGCCTTTCATTTCCTCATCTTTTTTCACTCTGGTTGTCTCCTCACCACAATTGCCCCCTTCTCTGGTCTGCTCTATTTTTTAAGTATGGTAAATCCTACCCCCAAATTCCCCTGCCCAGGAGTCAACATTGGCCCTTTTCTATTTTGTTTCATTGGTGAGTGGTGACTGAACTCCCATTTTCTTGGTTGGAAGTGGAGCGCCCTTGCCTCCAGCACAACATCTATTCTCCAACCATCTATCATGTTTTGGGAAAACATTTTAGTACCAGTGTACCACCTCGACAAAGCGAACTTTTCCAGAAATCAAACATACTGGCACAGTGAACTGCTGCTAGCAGAAGAGAAGAGGAATTGTTAAGCTACAAAGGACGTAACCCACATCCATCCTTAGAGCGCGATAGACAAGACATCAATCTTTTGATTCATTTCTCAACCTAATTTCATAATGTTACACTTCCAACAAAATGTCTCTTTGGCATCGAACTTGAGAGGACAAGCTTGCTTCTCTGCCCCATATCCCTATCAGCCTGGATCATACTTGATCGCAAGCTTGGTTTGATGATTGGCTAGTTGCTGGTGAAATGACACTCAAGGCCTACTCAAGGAAATGACACTCATCTATAAATTTGTTTATTTTACTCAAGTGTGAATTTCATGTTTATTATTCATATGCTTAGCTATTATCTCCTAAAAAGGGTGTCTAAGCTTTTTACTTTATCCAAACTAATTCTATTTTTTACCAGTTAAATAAGTAGGTATAGTAACATGCTTTTTTATTTATTTACTATAAGGAAGTAGTTATAGTAACATGTTGTATTAAGAACAGCAAATCATCAGGTCAAGTTGAGCATTGGAGTTTATTAGTGGTGAAGCAGTTTTATATGCTTTTTGGCCAAGCATCAAGCAGACACCCATCAACCACATTGAGGTTCAACTAATTACCTTGAGTCCTCTTATCTCAGTTAAAAAAGCTTCAATAGACAAGTGGGAAAGACAGGTTAACTCACTTTGCCAGAACCAAGGATGAAAGAGAAGGGGATTGGTTCACCAGTTTCATCTTTGTGATCATACGTTGAGTCAAAGCGCCATCCTTGCTTTGCAGCAAGTCTCCCGTAATAATGAATTGCAACCTGTCCAATCACAGTAAGAAGAAAGCTTAATTACTTTACTCCAGAACTGTAACTGACATCATAAAGCACTACAAGTACTTAAGTTTTATGCCATGATGACTGTATTGGAAAAAAAACTGAATTTACATTGTAGGCGACGTGGCATGACACGTGGACTGGTCAAATGGTCAAAACACAATAAATAGCCAAGAGGCACGGGCGACAATAGATAAGGGAAAAAGAAAGCAACATAGGTGTGGACCGTTACTAAAATAGGTACGAGTATCGTACCTATTCGAGTAATTTAAAGACCGAGGATCGGAAGAAGTTGAAGATACGAATCTGATGACGTAAAAGAGTCTAAATACAGCATTAAATATCAAATACGTTAGAATATTTGAATTAAATAGAAATGATTGTGTAACGTTTCTTTTAATGTCATTTATTGCTCATAATTGCCTCATTAAGACAAAGACATTACATCTTCTCCTAGAATCAACTATAAAAGGAGAAGGACTCAACATCTGTAGGGACACGAAATACTATTGAGATCTTACTGAAATACAAAACTATTTACTGCTTTACCATCATTCTCAAAAACATTTTATTTTCGTCTCCTGATTATTAGTAACCCGAATTTCTTTTTAGCTTTGACCAAAGACTCAGATTTTTGGTTAAACAATGACATTAATGTGCAAGAGCACCTTCCATTCAGATATGATCCACTGATTCCTCCTTGCTTTTTCTTCAATATATTATCCTGTCCTTTTGCACAAAAAGAAACCTTATGCAACACCATTGACCTCACAGTGACAAAGTTTTATAAACAACACTTGCCGAATTCTGCATTTTGTTCCTATTAGTTTTAGAAGTCACAAAAAGAAGTTATATGTACTTATAGCATATGCCACAACAATTTAGTAGAAGGCTGGTAACTCCACATAAAAAAGAGGTTCATCTAGCCTCATATTTTACTAAACAAGGTAACAGACCAATATAATTTGATATATCGTTCGTAGACAATATATGTGCAAGAGAAACTTATTTTTCACTATGTCAGAAAACTCAACATTAGAATCTCAACCAAACTCAAATGAAGAGATTTCTTGTCCTAAATTTCTCAAACATCAATCAGCTATGCCTCAATACAAGCTAGTTGGAGTGAGCTATCTGAATCCTATAACCATTCCTACTCTAACTGGCCTCATTTCATTCCAATAATTTGTCTCTTAAGCCAAATTAGAAGTTATTTAAAACTTGATTATTTAAATACCACAGTTATTAGGACAACAATCCTTAATTCCAGCTAGTTGATAATCATTTGCTTCCACAATTTTGCAAACATATTTCATTCAAAATTTTCCAAAGATTCGATTTTTTTGGTTACCAATAAGATGTGATTGCACTATAAAGCACAAGCTAATAGTAGCATTTGGGAAAAAGAGAGATAGAAGAGTACCAACCACATCACCATCAAGGGGGATATCCCCATCACCAATACGAAGGTCCAAGGCCTTGACACCACCCGAATTAGGCAGCTCTATAAACTGTGGAACTTGAGCATTTGAACTGGGTCCATTTGAAAAGATTAGAGCAGAGAATGAAAGAGTAAGTGCAGAAAGAGAGAAAACTCTTCTTGATTTCTGGGTTGAACAAGAAGAAGCACAAGAGTCTTGGTTTCGTGTAGTACAGGAGGGGAGGGTTGTGCGGCAATGGCGTGTATATACGTATGTTGGACATTGAACTAGTTTGATCATTGCCATCTTCACTTCTGGCCTTCCTTTTTGGTGAGGGACAGATTTCATTAAATTTGTCCAAGTTTTATACTAGTAAAATATTTTCGCTGAGATATCCGCAAAATACTAATTTCAACACGTGTAAATTTTCAAAAAAGCAAAAAAAAAGGGTTACAGCTCATTAAACGCCGTCTGTGGGGATCGAACCCACGACCACGTGGTTAAAAGCCACGCGCTCTACCGCTGAGCTAAGACGGCCTGTGCAATGTGTCTATCTTTTATTTGTAGTTGTTTTCTACAGTTACTGTCTATCTTTTGCCCATCTCGTACCCTCGAGCTTCTACTAGAGTCTTGCGCAGCTTCTCGAACCAAAACTTCCAGAACCCAATATTTACAACCTGTCTTCCGCCACCATTGACAAGAACCTTAAAAAGCTTGCTTCCAAGTAACAATAAGAGAAGGTTGATTGGAAAATACATTTGATTATTTTTATTAGAGAATGGCGGGGACTAAGGAACAGATAATGGATGTTCGGTCTGTGGTGGAAGCAGTAACAGCCGCCGGAGATGATGTTGAGATTGATACTCCTCTTTATGTTGTTGAAAGCCTCTGTATGCGCTGTGGTGAAAATGTATGAAAATCTTCTTTCTCCTTTTTGCTTCTTTTTTATTTTCTGTACGAGAAGAGGTTTTTCTTGTTTATTTTTATCTAATTTCAGGAAAAAATGTAATCTTTTTCTTTCTTCTTTAGAAAAATGAGAAGTTTGCTTTAGCTGAAGAATATAGAAACTTTTGTTGGTTAATTTACTTTTACATGGATTGTTATTTGCTCTATCTTTGCTATAAAGTTGCCACTTTGAAGAGATTTTGTGTTTGTTTTAAGTCTTTTCTTTTTTGGTGTTATCTGGGAAAGGAGAAACAGTGCAATAGCTTTCTTCTTCTTGAATTTTCTGTAAGAGAATGGTAAAAGGTTGATAACATGAAAATATGCTGAATTGAAGAATGCATACGCGTTGGTTCGTCTCTTTACTTTTAGTACATAGTATTTACCCATTTTTTTCTATGAAGTTAGCTTTTTGGTAATAAATGCGGTGCATTAAGCTCTCCTTCCTCTTTTCCAATTTTTGTTAGAGCTACTTTAGTGAAAAAATCTATTTTCTTTTTTAGTTTTATGTGGAAAGGTCAGCAGGATATTGCTTTTTGTCTAAGGGTCTTATTGTTTCTTTTGACAGGGTACAACAAGGTTTCTCTTAACACTGATTCCACATTTTAGAAAGGTACTTGGCTTCCTTCCTCTCTTTTCTGAGGTGTGCTTATGCAAGTAAAGAGATGTTTAGGTTTCAACCTAAACCTGAGTTTTGATTGGTCAATATTTTTCTAGAATTGAATAATACAAATAAGAAGATAATTCTGATCAGTAAGGCATAGTGTCATTGTCTAGTATCTATTTTGTTTCATATAATCAAGGTCTAATCCTTAACAGACACTATTTTACCAGTATTTTGTTTGATATTTGAAAAACTAAAAAAACTGCAGAATGTGGTATAGATTTATAACTTCTTGAAAAATTAAAAAAATTCGCTTTTGTGTGAATCTTGTTTTCATCCTCTCTATTTTTCATCAATGATTGTTATTCTAAAGGGAAAATAATATTCTTCCAGATATTATTGTCAGCATTTGACTGCCCACATTGTAGTGAAAGGTATGGCATTTCATCTCGGAAGACATTAGAAATTGGAGTAACTTATAGCTCAATTACCTACCTTACCCTGTTTTTCTGCCTTTTCATTCCCCTTCTGAAGAAATAATGAAGTGGAGTTCGCTGGTGAAATTCAGCCTCGAGGATGTTGCTATGGCTTGCATATTCCATCAGGTGATCAAAAGGTATTGCCACGAGTTAGGATTTCAAGATGAAACTGTATTATATCTGTTGACGTTGCTATATGCTGTTAGATAATGTACTAAGTTGCTATATGCAATAGCTACAGTAGTTCTATTGCATTTCTCATCGAACGTGGACTATCCTTTCTCCAAGAAGTTCTCAGGTAGTTATTGAAGTAGTATAATGTCTTGTTGTTGCTATATAGTGTGCAGTTGCATACTTATCTTGATTCTCTTTTTAATTCGTGAGAAAAAACTCTCGCCAATGCTAGAGAGCTAGTAGACTTGATCGAAACTCGTTGAGCCATCTAGAATTGAAACATTGAAGTTGATATAAACTAGGGGTAAGCAGTTGCCTATGTTGCAATGGCTTCTGGAATAAGGGTCAGTTGTTCTCTCGTGATGTTTTTGTGATACTTTTGTTATTCTTCTTCTTTTTTTTTTTTGTCTCAGTGTTATTCTTTTAATTTTAGTTAGTGATTTGACATGCTTCGCTCAGTGAAGCCAATTGTTTAGGGTCAGTGTTTGTTTTAGACAGTTCTTTTGGATAATATTCGTGTTTTACAAGCATGTAGCTTGGTTATTTCCCTTTTCTGCTTCTTCTACATGCTCTTTCCTACTGAAAAGGGAAAAGAATTGTCTATAGACTAGTTCTTTGCACTCATACAGCATGATTAGTCCTTGCTCATGCTGTGATGTAAACCTAGGCCATCCGCTGTAGAGAGTCAATGCTATTTCTACGAGTTGCAATAGAAATCAGTTTGATCCCACGAGACGAAAGGTAGAGATGTCAATTTTGAAAATTGTGGGTAAAGTTCTGCAATATTTTTGTTCAAAGCGAATCTGGAATAGTCAATAGATGATTTGCTTTGACCCGGACAGAGAAGTGTTTGGAATTTAGAAAATACCTGGCAATTCTTTGTTCAAGCTCAAGATCATCAGAGTTGGTGAAATGGAACTAAGTTGGCTCTTGCTAAGGAGGAGAAAATCTAGTTCTATCTACCAATGTTCTGTGTGGAGAATGTAGTTTGGAGTTGAGACCTTTCTTTCTTTCAGAGGAAAATATGAGAGGATAGAAAGTACTTCATTGGCTTCCCCCTATCTACTCGTAAGACGTGCTCTTCTCGAGCCATTGTTCAGTCATCCTTAATAACATTAACCTGATGCAGACACTATATGCTGGATGACAGACTTATTCTTTATTAAAGATGGACTTAATCATTAAGAATTTTCTTTATGGAAATGCTACACACAAGCAAGAAAAGGCCCTTCATCAATCCTAACAATGTCTTCAAATTCGCTAATGAAATTGTTGATAGGGACAAACAGCAGTCACTAGGAAACTGCATGGTTCTTCAAGATTTTGCTTTCGATGAAGCCTCTCAGGCCCTTGTGATAGACCTTTTAGCAGAATTTCAAGAGCATGATTCGTTCTGCCATTCTGGTTTTTATCTATTTCAGACTGCTTTATGCATATCTTTGTGAAATAAAGAATGTTGTGTCCCAGGGTGTTTTAAGGTAAACATTGAGTTTAACTCTCCGTGAGTGTTGAATTACTGGTATTTTGAAACTGCAGATGCTCGACCGAACGGTTGTCAAATCTGAAAGTGCTACCATCAAGGTACTTTATTTAACTCTCTTGTAACTTGTTAGGGTCTCGAAATGTACACTGTAAGTAAGCGTATTAAATCTCCATGTTTTAGATTGATGCTTGTACTTCTTAGGAAGGATCAGTAAAATTTGAATAGGATCCTAAGCAAGCTTTTTTTTCCCGGAGTTACACTTATACATATATGATATATCCATTCTTTAATAATCAGTTATATGGTACTCTGTTTATCTTGCTAATTTATGGCTGTGCAGATCCCTGAACTGGATTTTGAGATCCCCCCCGAGGCTCAGCGTGGATCATTGTCAACGGTACATGGCCTTTTACTAGTTTGCCTATTCAAAAAATTATCCTGATGATTAAATGGTTATATGATTCAGTCGTGTTTGTTTTCCCAGCTGCAAATACAGCATATCCTTGAAAGGAAGAAATACTTAATTGCTTGCCTGTTGCTCTAATAAATATCTGTATGTTATGTATTACAGGTAGAAGGCATACTGGTTCGAGCTGCTGACGGTTTGGGGGCCCTTCAAGATGAACGGAAGGTGCAATTTTTCTCTTGGTTTAGATGCTCACACATTGGTCTTGACTCTTGTCTTTTTCTTTATATTTTTCGCTTTCTGATATTTCCATCTCACTGTGTCTGCAGAAAGTGGATCCCCAGATGGCTGAAGCAATAGATCGGTTCTTGATAAAACTGAGAGCTTGTGCTTCAGGAGATTCATCCTTTACTTTCATTCTTGATGATCCTGCTGGTAACAGCTTTATTGAGAACCCGTAAGAAACTCATTTTATATGACTAGTATCTATGAACGTGCGTTGCACGTTAATAATGGCACGTGATGATTTAAACATTTATTTATATGAAGGAACGATAAAATTTAATTAATGAGATAAATTTTATGTTTAATAATACAACAATCATCTAAATGCCGAAAAATATGATTACATTAGCATAATACATGAATTTAAAATAAAAGAACATCATCAAACTTACACAATGATCAATTTTATCATGTTAGTTAAATAATTATGTATTATAGTTTAAAAGTATTTAATGTAATGATATTTTAACAAACACTTCTTTGTGGACAATTTTTTTGTTGTATATGTTTCCTCCTAATGCTTTGGTTGCTCTGCTTAACCAGAACTCTTGTTATCGATCTTGATATCCCTCTTGAAAGTGCAATATACAATTGTTCGTGCAAGAAAACATATTGCGGTAAATATAGTCCAATATTTAGGATGTTTGTCCTTGTGATTTATTTATTATATTTGCAAAACATAAACATATTAAAAATTATTTTCACACAAATTAAAAAGGTTATTCCTTAGTTTCGGAAGACGAAAGTTGAATTCAGGGATAAGAATATACTTAGAAGCACATTGACCAGTATCATATTTTTTGCATGTATGGCATTATTGTCAAAACTTCTATATACTTGTGTGCTATTATATAAGCTATTCGGCGTATCTAAATTTTTCAGTAGCACGATGAGCATATTTTTCTTCAAAATTAACCTATATACAATGGAAGATCAATTTTAACTTAGTCTATTATATATACGGTGACACTAACATGTGTAAGAAATAATAAACTTGACAACAAACATGTATGGTATAAGGCCATTTGGTATTAAAGTATTAGTATTCTTCTTGGTGTCATTTTCTGCTGAGTCAAAAGCTAAAACATTTTATTTTTACTATAAAATTTTGCAATCAACCTTTTATTTAGTTGATCAATATTCATTTCTGCTAGCTAAGATATCTTTTTAATTCTATCCTGCGATTTGCACAAATTGCATTTTAATCTAATGATAGAAATATTTCTCTTGTTAAATGCACTACCATTGCCATTTGGGAACCAAGTATTCAGGAAGAACCGAATCATCTTTTATTGGATGCTCTCTTCATCTCCGACACGAAGCAAGAAAACGCTGAATACTGGATATGTTCTTACTTTATATTTCTTGTCAGTTGAATCTTTTTCATTTGAGGCCAGAAGTATAAATTTGGTAAGATAGCTTTTACAGTCTCTGCTTTTGTCGATTTTGGAACTACTGGTAGTACTTGATAGAAATCACCTCCCAAACTATTAATTTTTCAACAAACGGTTCATTAATATCCAATATATTTGTAGAACTCCGGGCAATTATTTCGATCGTTTGACACTTAGCCATAAGTGCTTCATCCTATATTATCAATTTTGCGTTATTTAGCACTATTTCTTTGCTTTGATATATTTGTGGTTGTTATTTAAGTTGTTTGAAGAGGTATACCAAATCTAAAGTGGATGGCCTCATAATAATATTGTTGGTGGTACACCACTTGCTATTATTGCTAATAGTATCATGTCTCTTAATATGATATTTGCAAGTAATGCATGGCATAGAAGTATTATTTCGATTCCGCCGGAGGCATCTACAAAGAATAATCCCGTTATACCAGAGTTGACTATTTGTATAGTCATGAAAGCTTGTCCTTGATTAGGATTTAGCTTTGATTGTGCTTCCTCATACATTTGTATAGCATTTTGATTCTTAATAATATACTATCCTTTTTACTTTGTGTTCTAACGCTCTTTTTATGGAATAAATTTATGTACGCTAAGATTTTTTTTTTAACTTGAATAAGAATTTTACTCATAAGATGTATTTAAAATACTACTGATTGGACTCTCTTGCTAAATAATTAATTAAAAGATTTAATTATTCGGTTTTAACATAAAAAATAATTTATTTTATGGTGGTTCATTAGTCATCTCTTGTTTTCAATATTTAATCTTAATTATGATTTTATCCACCATAAAATTTATATTCAAAGAGTAAAAAATTGATATGACATTTCACTATTAGATCGTTATGTTGTAGAATCATAGTGGTATTAACTTTTACTAACTATTTTTCTCTTTCTTACACATATATATTCTTAAATATTTTCTTAGTTGTTATTTAATAATTGGGTATTTTTCAATATTACACGAAAAGTTGATAAAAAAATATTATTTGAGTGGAAAAATAGTTTAAATATAAAATAGAAATATATTAATGCGGGGGTATTTTTTTACAATTTCAACTCTTTATGCAGTCCATTTAATATTAATTTTTTTTTTCTTGATATTGGACATTTTAGAGTGGTAATGTATTGCCAATACGGAGGATTCTTGTGAAGTTAATTTTATTAACCTTACTACATATTTTTAATAAGAATTTAATAGATAAAATTTTATTAATTTATAATTTTAAATATTAAAAATTAGAATAGAAGGTATTGTAGTCCAAAAAATAGATTATTACAGTTATGCCCTTTCCCTATGAGTTCTTCCGCTTAATATTTTAAGGCTTTTTTGGTATATTAATATTGCATTTATGCTTTTATAATAATATAGGCTCTCCTTTTTCTAAATGAATTTGGACTATAAAATACATTCTCAAATTAAATTAGTAATAGGACATTATAATACGTTTTCAAATTAAATTAGTTATAGAAATTTTTAAGAAGTATATCCTAAAAATAATAGGATTACATGACTAAAGATATTTACTTGTTCAATTTTATATGAATTAGACATCCCGAAAGTAATTATACTAATAGGTTTCCTAAAGATAATCATGTAAGATTTCTAACGTGCAGTATTATGTCCTAAAACTAATAGAATTATAAGGCTAATATCTAGAATTCCGTTTATGTCCTTTTATTATGAGTTATTATGCTTAATATTATAAGGTTATTTTGTAAACCGACATTCTATTCATGCTTTTATAATAATAAAGATAGATAAAAAGTTATGGCTTCTGCTGTTGCCCTATCTAGTTATATATTGGAGAGATTCATGCCTATAATGGAAAAATAGTGATGTATAATAAGATGATATATCATGCTACAGTCATGGACACTGGCACCATGTTGGACTTTGTGACCTGAAAATTCTGAACCAAATTACTTTTAGAGTGTAAATTAGGAACTAGCTGTTAATCTTCCAAAAAGGAAAAGCATTACCACATGTGAATATATAGGCATAAAATATACCATCAATACAGATCAAGAATGATCAAGTGTTAGAAGAATATGAGAACACAAATGCGACTCAAACATCTAAATTGAATATGGTGTAGTGCTGTCTCTTTTACTTTCTGATCAAGGTTTTTGTTCCATATTTATTTTGTTGTATGTTTGAGGTGTAACTTTTGACGCTTAACTTCTTCATCTAAAAGTTGAGTTTAAGCTGTAATGTACTGGTCTTTTGCTGCCTTATGCAAACTGCCTTTGCTCATTGATCAATCAATTAATGAACTATGGCTCAATGCTGGTTGGCTATATGAATCCTCTGTATCCAATGTGCTCTTTTCATGTCCATTTCATCTCAAAACAGCTTTTGTCAGTATGACAGTTATAAAAAAATATAAGTAGGTTCAGTTCACTTCAAAAGCACCTTTGTTAATACGTGTTTTAAAAAATGAGTAGGCTTATCTTTGCTAATCTCTATCCAATCGGCTCTATTTTTGTCCATTTCATCTCAAAACTGCGTTTGTTAATATGGCGGCAAAATTATAAGTAGGTCCATTTCACTTCAAAAGCACCTTTGTTAATATGTGGTTTAAACAATGAGTAATCAATTACATCCTCTGGATGATTGATTCAGTGAAAGCTTACCCTTACTTGGTCAAAAAAAAAACAAACACAATGAGTAGGCTTATCTTTGCTAATCTCTATCCAATCTGCTCTTTTCGTGTCCATTTCATCTCAAAACTGCATTTGTTAATATGGTGGTAAAAAGTATAAGTAGGCTTATTTCACTTCAAAAGCGCCTTTGTTAATATGTGGTTTTAAAAAACATACAAGTAGGCTTATCTTTGCTACACTGAACACTCTGCTCCGTTTTATTATTGTTAATCTTATGCGCAGGTGATTGCCTATCTCGCAGGTTAGCTCCATCTCCTGATCCCTCATTGAAAATCACATTCTATGAGCGAACTCCTGAGCAACAGGCAGCTTTAGGGTATCTTGCCGACCCATCACAGCTTGGAGGACAAAGTGATGAGGTATCAAGTGAGGGTATAAATAATGTTCCTCATCACCTGCTAAAGGAACCACATGGATCAGTTGGAGCAAGAGCAGGACGTCAGGCTATTGCTCAGGGTAACAGTGCAGAAATAGCTGAAGCTCTATTTCGATATTCAGCTCCTGAAGAGGTTCATTGTCCTGCAGCATTAATTACATTTATGTGTGTCCCCTTTAAATTTTCTTTCTGATAGCATCCTCTTTTCGACAGGTGATGATGTTTCCATCAACTTGTGGAGCATGCGCTGCGAGGTGTGACTGTAGAATGTTTGTTACCAGTATCCTTTTCTACATTAACACAATAGATAACCTCGTGATTTCTCCCTTCCACCCTACACAGCCCCTTGCCGCATATTAGAAAGGAAATATTAATAATTGCAATTGTTGTTATATTTGTTATAAAATTATTTTGTTCTATCAAGGCATCTGCTTCTAATTGATCCTTTGGGGTTGCAAACATTGACACTTCTAAGAGCTTAAATGGTTAAATGTATTAGCTAATAATTTTCAGTTATTTGGAGGCCCCTGGATGTCTCTGTTACTAAATCTCCGTAACAGAGGGACAACCTAAAACAGTTAAAAAATCTAGAGGGGATTTTCTACCAAGACTGTCAGCTTCTTTAGAGTGATTAAATGAGTTAAGAGGTTTAATAAATGTTTTGTTCATCATGGAAAACTTTATTGTGATTTTTTATTTTTTTTCAATGGAGTTGCATACTTTCCTTTACACTGAGAATTAATTGTCCCTCATTTTTTAATCTTAAAAGATAGAACTTGTACCAAACTACCAGTTGGTGCATGGTGGTGCTTTTTCTGTAGTTTGCCCTTAATTAATTTTTGATTTAGCATTTTGTAAGAATTGTAACTGTCATCTGCTTCAAGCTATTCTGCTTCTATGGTACTTGTTGAACTTAACCACTTAAAGATATTCCATACTTTCAAGAAGTAATAGTTATGGCATCCTCTTGTGATGCTTGTGGTTATCGCAACTCTGAGGTAATCACTGTCATGTGCTAGAAAGGAATAGCTTTTGGAATTTTTATTAATGATGAGATTATGCTCGTCTTCACAGCTGAAACCTGGTGGTCCTATATCTGATAAGGGAAAGAAAATTACCCTTCATGTGGAAAACATTGAAGACTTAAGCCGTGATGTGATTAAGGTATACTCTCCAACCTATATTTGAAGAAATACTTGCTTATTATTTGTTTTCTGAATTATTTTATTTTTATTTATTTTGGTGTTCTCTTATTCATTCTGCAATTCTCCTGTAGGAGCAACATTTGGTTTTACTTTTAGAATTGCTCTTATACTGCTAACTTTGTAGAGGTTCCATAAAAGCTGAGATCAGTAAATGACAAATCATTGAAATTATATCTTTGTCAGACTAAAGATATATTTCATTTCCCTACTATTCTAGCTTCTATTAGACTAGAAGTCCTTCTGGCCCCTTGTGACTGTGAATTGAATGAATAAATGGATAAAATCAAAAAATAGTTTAACCCAACAGTTCGAACTCAGAGACTGACACGACCTGAGACCTTGGCCTTATTCCAGAATATTCAAAATGATATTTAATAATTAATAAATAAGATTGCAATAGTTTAGTCAATTACTATGCATATAAGATTTTTGTTACGTGGGCCTGCTTAGCTCAAAGGTTAGAGCATCACATTTTGTAATGTGATGGTCATCGGTTCGATTCCGATAGCTGGCTTTTTCCTATTCTTTGTTTTTTTTTTAAAATTCAAGTATTGTATACATTATCCGATCCTTTATAGGAACTACCCGTAATAATGAACATGCAAAATGGATCTCTTTACCATATAAGATTCATCGTTCCTGACCCTGCTTCTGTGCCTTCTCTGTAGTAGAATGCTATCTGTTCACAGATATATGTTTTGGCAAAGGACCAAGCCCTTATAAAAAAGAAATTCAAAATCGATTTCAAGTAGAAAATGACCTGCTGAAAAGCGGGATATTTTACATAAAAAACTATAGTCGTTCTTCTATATCCCCAATTTTTTCTAGTTTGCCAGTCCCTACCGATAAGTTATCGAAAGGTTTATATGAAAAATGGAATGGTTAACATTACTCATTTTAAAATCTCCATGGTGATTTAATATTTACAATCCCATTCCACCTAGAATTCGAGGAATTCAATAGATTCGTAGACCCAGGTTGAGTAATTCATTTTCAATATTTGTCCAATCAAAAATGGTTTTATCATTTCGGAATCTTCTATGCTCTATAGATGGATATACCCCATCTATATGTCTCTTTCCTGTCATTTTGCTATTCAATTTGGAATATTTCAATCGTAATTTTTTTTTTTGTTTACCTTATCAAAAAAAGTTGTTTTCTTTTATCTTAACTTTCGCCTGAAAGTGGAGAAATGTCTCAGCAGATGGGTTGCTTCTCTGTTGTCGCCATTCTTTGGATCTTAATCATGTTTAATAACTTTTCTATTTGCTCTATTATATTTGACTTTAGAGAGCACATTTACATCCTGCTTTCACATGTAACATGTACTTCTCAAACTTTGAAGATTGTGATTAGTCAAAGCAAAGTTGTGCAATGATGTAAAATATCCAGCCCGTTGGCATGAGTGCCAAGATTTTATTTTTTTCATCTGGAAGTTGGGACTTTTTTAATAATTTTTTCCTTGTGGATTGATTGATACAGCATTTGAGAGCATGCTTGAATAACAAAGACGACTGAGCATCTGAAAATGGTATCATTTCATGCTTATGACCCAAGATTATAAAAATTGTTTTTAGATAGCCACAAGTGAATGCGGAAAAAATTACGTGTTGGCTGGCAAAGATAAAAACTAAAGAACAAACGACATCAACTTCCCACATTCCAACATCAGATCAAAGAACATTGATTTTTCACGAAATTAAGACTAGCAAAGCACACTGGCGCCAAAGGTAAGAGTGTGGCCTAGTGGTCAATGAAGTGGGTGAAAATTTTGGTGACCGGGGTTCAATTCCCAACAGAGGTAAAAATATTAGGTGATTTCTTCCCATCTGTCTAAACTTTGGTGGGCAGAGTTATCTAGTGCATGTGCTGGTGGGATGTAGCAATAGCAGGTACCCAGGGGAATAGTCGAGGTGCGTGGAAGTTGACCCGGACATCACCATTAGCCCACCCAAAAAAGAAAAAGACTAGAAAAGTACCCGATACCTTAATAGTTTTCTTGCAGTGGCCCGCTAGTTATATGGCGCTCCTCTGTTGTCTTGAATAGTGTTAGTCGGGGATTTTTGTCCATTTCCTCTCTCCTTATATTAGTGGTTTTGTTGTGAAGTCTCTGCGTTAATACTGATTGAATTCAACCAAGTCGTTTATAATTTAATAAAGAGAATAAGAAAGGATCTTTCCAAAATAAAAAGATAATAAGAAATGGAATGAGGGGACAGCATGAGAATAAGAAATTACCTATCAAAAAAAGAAGATAATAAGAAATGGAATGAGAGGACAGCATGAATATCATGTTCAAGAGCAGGCATCTTCATCTGATGCATAAAAGAAGTTTTGAAGGAGTTTGCACCGCTTTAGTATTTCTGTTCACTTGTTTACTATTTTGTATTCATGTCTGATACATCTCGAACTTGTAATGTTGACTGAACTTTCTAGCTGAGCGCAGGGCCTTTGTTTAGTCTTTAACTGGTATAGAGCTTGTAACAGATTTGGGTCTGTTCTGGACCAGAATCTATTCCTTCATGAAAAGGGACAGTTAACCTGAATAGACAGTAAGCTAAATGGATAAAAAAAAATATGGCATGTATTTTTGCAATATACTTTGACTAATGCACTCATCTCTTGCTTGACTTTTAAAATCTGGCTTCCCTCTGGAGCTGGGAGAATATGCATTGTCTGAAACTTCAGTTTTCTTCAGCTAAATAAANGGTGGTCCCCACAAAACAACCAAAAGAAAAATTTAGCAGGAAGTGTGGAATTGCTGCAATTCGGAGGAGTGTTGAAGAAGCTGTCCTTAACTAGTTCTACTTGACAGTTGACATTTACATCTTTATGGATGCATTTCTTCTACGTTTATCGTACTTACCTTCATGCTAACCATTAAGCCTTAATTGTCTTGAATCTGCTTGACATTACGCATGTCACAAATAGGAAAATAGTTTTTAATGGCTTGGAGCCATTTAACTGTTCCACTCTGCTTCTTTGCACTCTGACTCCAAATTGTTTTATATATACCAGTCTGATAGTGCTGGAGTGGAAATTCCTGAGCTTGAGTTAGAGCTTGCTAGTGGCACTTTGGGTGGAATGGTGACGACAGTTGAGGGTTTAATCACAAAAATTAACGAAAGTGAGTATCTTCTTTTTCCTTGTTTTCTTATGCCTTGTTTCAATTTCTTGGACAATAATATGTGTGAATGCATATTCAGTACATGGAATATTTCAATGAGGCATACTTGTCAAACTCATCCAAGGTCGAGCTTCAGTTGAACTTCTGTGAATCTACAGTTGTTGTATTTAAGACTCTTTGCATGGTTCTGATTTCTTATTTCATTTATTTTGCGTCCGTTAACCTTAAGACTTTTTGTGTCAAATGACAAGTGTCTAATCAATATCTTATTTTACATGGACTATTGAATCGTCCTATTCAATCTTAATGACCTATTCTTTTGTGGTATCTGTATTTATATTTTCTTAAATTTTTGTCATTTAAACATCCTCTTGAATGAAATTTTTGTTTTAAATGTAGGTCTTGAGAGAGTACATGGATTCACATTTGGAGACAGTCTTGATGAAGACAGGAAGAGCAAGTGGTTGGACTTCCGAGCAAGACTAGACAAGGTACAGGTGGAGAGATACCTCTTAATTGCTATATCAGATATGGTTTGAGCTTATCTGTGATTTCTCTATTAAGAATTTCATATCTATTCAAGGTTATGGGATATGAATCACCTGGTTCTACAAATACGTTAACGGAAAATAATTTACCAATATTCGACAATTACCTCTAGCTTTTGTCAGAGGAGCTATTTTAGGTGGATTTAACCATTTTTGGTCCATGACTGAAATGTGAAGATACAATTTGTATTTTCAAATACAAGACCCCTTTCAATTTTCCTCTATATAACTCCATTACAATTTTTTTTTTATTTAATATATTTTTTGTTTGCATTTCAAACATTCAACAGCTTTTGAGCTTGGGACAACCGTGGACATTGATCATCGACGATGCACTTTCAAATTCTTTTGTTGCACCTGCAACCGATGATATCAAGGATGACAAACAGTTAACATGTAAGTGAGATTTGCAGCTCCGGAATAGTTCATGTAAGATGTGTGAATTGTTTTGATAGTATGCTAATATGAAATTTCGATGGGAAACAAGTATGGCTGGTAAAATTTTATGCTTTTAGCTTAATTAATACATGAGGTCATCTTTCGTCTTCATTCAATCCTACCTATTTGTAAAGTTTATACTGGATTTTGTGTTTTTTGGCCGGTAAAAATCAAGCAACCCCCCCCCCCCC